AACAAGCAATAATCAGAAAATATTTGAAAGTTAAATAGCATAGTTCGATTACGTCTACTGTGGAATACTTCTGAAGCATATATGGGTGAATTAAAAAAAATGACCACCAAACTGAAATTTTTTTGAAAAATTCAACTACTTATAACATATTTTTTACTAATATCATCATATTGCAAATGCATTCTAGTTTAAAATCCTGAAGTGGCAATAGAATAGACAATTGGATTAAAAAGTTTCAGAATTTTTATTAGTAAAATTTTTTTTGAAAAAAGAAAATATCATTACACCTTAAAAGACTTTCTAAAATACATAATCACGAGAAATTATAGTTTTTTATGCTTCAAAATGCACAAGATGAAACACTTCCTTTAAGTTTGGCTTAATGGTGGCTTATATGTCCTTAATGATGGTTTAATGGTTGTCTTTAAATCACCATTAAGCACCTTTAAGCTACATTTAAGTAATAAATACACCACCATTAAGTTACCATTAAGCCATCTCAAAGTCCTTAATGGATGCTTAAAGGTAGCTTAATGGTGGCTTATAGGTGCTTAATGGTAGCTTCTAGACAATCATTAAGTCACCATTAAGCCCCCATTAAGCCAGACTTATAGGTGCTTAATGTCCAAACTCCATTAAGTTACCATTAAACCACCTTTAAGCCACCATTAAGTCACCATTATGCAGTCGATAAAACTGCTTTTATGGGTTAAATATTATTTTTATAATGATTTTTTCACAAAAATTATAAATGTCGAGTTTATACATTTGTTAATTCGGTGAAAATAATGTAAAAGAAAGAAAATTTAAAAAAAAAAATAAATGACTAAAAGAAACATTTCCAACAGGATTCGATCCCACGACCTTTAGATTGGAGGGCAAACGCTTTACCCACTGAGCTATCGAGGCTGTTGAAATTGAAGCGAAATATAAAACCTTTATTTTTAACAAAACTTGTTTGGAATGGTTACAGGTACTTGTACATGTATTTTTTTTTCCCTGATGTTTATATTTATTAATCAATAATACGAATAATTATATATATATATATATATATATATATATATATATATATATATATATATATATATATATATATTAAAAAAGAAATTTTGATAAATATATATTATTATAACAGTAACTTGATCCGAAGAGCCGTATTACATCAAGTTGACAGGCGCGGATCATCAGATCAAACGAGACGCGAAGCTCCTGTCAACGAGACGTGATACGGCTCTTCGGATCAAGTTACTGTTATAATGATAAATTTATTATATACCCCTTTACAACTAGCAAAATATAATAAAAGAAAACTTTTTGGATCAATTACGTAACTTTTATCCATTAAACAAACCATTTTGTCAAGGAACTTTTTGATGTGCCAGAATAAAAACGTCATTTATCTGTGTACTACATCATCAGTTTCAGAGAGGGGTGATATGGACTCAGAAAACCACAGTGTGGTGATCCGGAACGTCGGATCACACCGTCACGTGATTGCATAAATTCAACAGTAAAACTGAATGAAAACAGTTAGGTATATAATAAAGTTTTATATTACGTTAATATTTCTTAACCGTGGACCGGAGTTCGGTGTGAAACAGCTTTTTGATTTTAAGTAACTGAATTCCTCGTTCTGTTATTCGCAGATTTATAAGCATAAAAAGATTGAAATCCAACAGATATAAGAAAATTTTGTTATTAAAAAGGAATATCTCAGCGAAAGAGAACGAATGGGAAAAAACAGATTATAGTTCTTATAAATATGCTGCGGATATATTTACGATTTTTGACAATCTTTGCGTAACAATTAAATTAAAATATTTTTGTAACATATCATCTTCAGTTTTAATTCTTTTTATATCATTATGGGTATCAAAGTAATTGTCTTTTTGTGTACAATCATAATTTCTAATTTGTTATATGCTTGCGTAAATTTTAAGTTTTGTAAAAAATAGATCATCAAAATCTGTCACTGTACGTTCCCATGTATAGTTTCCTGTTAATTGACCAGGGACTGGTGGGGACACCTAATTAAGGTCTATTGTCTAACTAGGCGATATACTGTACACTGATTATTTTACCCCGCTTCTCAATGTGTATGAATCTGGCCGGATACCCTGTTTAATCTGATCGGCTGTTCTTCTGAAAATAACAATCATTGAAGACAGACTATATTTTGATCAATTCTTACTTCTGCATTATTTTAAATAAATACTTACTTCTGCATTATTTTAAATAAATTCTTACTTCTGCATTATTTTACATAAATTCTTACTTCTGCAGTATTTTAAAAGAAAGTAAAAAATAATGGCACTTAACCACGAATTAATTCAAATTATTCATGAATTAATTCATTGATTGGCAATATAATCTATACCTATATTTTTTTTTTATATCTTAAACATTTCTCTACCCAAAGAAAAATTAAGAGACTAAGAGATATTCCAGAAGAAAATGACACCAATTACATTTCCTATGAATTCGGCAGTGGAATGTGGTTCTCCAAACACGAAAGAAAAATATGTGATTTTTTAAGATATATATTATGTATTTATGGATAAAAATGATTTTAAAACAAGTAATCAAACAAACTGATTTTAGGGAGCGAAAATTTTAAGGCATTTGGTGAAGCTGTTCTCAGTTCCCAAGATTATACGCATTGACAAAGATGTTAGAAATTTCACAATTTTGGTAGAGGGCTCAATGCTTATTACAATCATGCCAACAGTTTGACTGCTTGATGTCCAGGGGTAAAGAAGAAGATTTTTAAAGATAGCACTAATTTTGATGGTTTTAGCCCCACCCCTCAGGCCCCAGGTTGATGATATATGCCAAAATTTGTTGAAATTGGTTCAGTGGTTCAAGAGAAGAAGCTAAAAATGTTCAAAAGTTTACGACCGACGCATGTCGCACGACGACGGACAAAAACAGATAGCAATAGGTCACCTGAGTGACTCGGGTGACCTAAAAAGTATATCACCATGACCTACTCTCGAGTCAACATAATATATGGTCCTTAGATGCATCAACTGACAATATTTGATGATCCTAGTCCTTATAGTAAGCAAAATATATACATTTTAATTAAATGTAATTTTTAGACAACTTTGAAGTGAACTTGATACCATGCCTTTTGCCCCATGGTGATGTCTTGAACAATCTTTAATCTACAACATATCCTCATCCTTTTTTTTTATATTTGGTTATAATCTGCCCAGTGGTTTTGAGAAGAATTTTTAGCAACCAGTGCTTTTGGTTTTATTTACCTAATTATCTCCCCTTGTTTAACTCTATTCCCCTTAGACCTTTTCATCCTTTCCCCCTTAATGCCACGATTTGACTCCTAGTCCCCAACTCTTAATGACTTCTGACGCACGTGTATTTTGTTGTTGATTTGGCTTGAAATTACCGCTTGTTTAAACTATCAGAGCACAGGTTGCCACCTGCAGGTTAACAATGAAATATATCGAGATTACGAACAGTATTCAAGCTCAAAAGTCCATTAAACAATAAAAAATAGGAGCAGAGCAAACACGGACCTCCGGAACGTCAGAGGAGGGATCAGGTGCCATGGTGGAGTAAGCATCCCCTGCCGACTGGGCACACCCGCCGTGTGCTCCTTGTCATGATCGGGAAAAAACGGAAAAATCCGTCAACAATTCAGTAAGTAAATAATGGCCTAACAATTAGTATGAAAAACATTAGTAAGCATTTGACTCAACGATAAATTGTATTTGCTGACAAGGTCATTGTATCGACCATAGAACTTATGAAATGATGACTTTAAACGAGACTGCTGATATTCTTGTTTCATCAACTTGTTTGTCAATAATTTACCTCGTTTTAGAAATTTTACATACGTAGAGCATGCTCTTACGTATCAAATTAACTGAGAGATATAAACCCTGTATGTAGGTGATGAAGGTATATTGCTGCATAAGTAAGGGAAGTTGACGATTGAAAATTTAAAGTCATCACGTTTATCATAAAGTTGTTATGAGGGTTGATCCAAAAGTAATGTCACAGTGTCCACATCTTTTATATTTGGCGTCAAATTATCAAAAACAATATACCAAAATATGCACATATATAAATCTAACAAACATTGTAATTTTGGTTTAATACTATTAAATTAAATTCATTTTATAGTTGTTTCAAACATTAGGCATAGGTGGTGTCGCCGTGTCACAACTAAACGTCACATTTTAAAGAGTTTTTTTAGGATGAAAAAGACAAACACATTAAACAACATCTAAATCCGTGACTAATCGGCCCATGATTTTAAAAGACAAAATTTATGTCATTTTCTAATGATCAGTTGAAAATTAAATGACGTCATTGCTATTTTTGATTATAAACATTTGTGTTTTATTTTGATGCATTGAACAAAGGACGTGTCAAAATGGATGGAAAATGCCGCAACGAGCTGTAATGCATTTTGCATTTTTATTTCAAAATGGGGAAATTACCAGTAGAGGCAATTACGTTGATTTATTAGACTCACAGTGAAAAGAATGTAAATAAGAGTCTTCCCTTGTGAAAATAGACCAGGATATCCCAAGATTTCTTGAGATTTTCTCAAGATATCTTGGTTAAAAATCCCAGGAAGTCTCAGGAAAGCAAAATATCCTGAGATATCTTGAGAATTCCTGGGACCACAATTATCCTGACCTCAGGAATATTTCACTTGTTTCATGGCAGTACAAAAATCCTGAGATGTCTTGAGATTTCCTGGGATCACAATCCTGTCATCATCCTGGGCTCAGGAATTTGACTTTGAAGTGTAAAAATCCTGAGATATCTTGAGATATTCCTGAGATCAACAATCCCCTTACTATCCTGAACTCTGGAATTTTGTCACTTATTTCAAAAACAGATCTTTCAAAAACAGATTCAAGTTCTCAAAATACATTTAAAATATATACAATGTCCCTCTGTACACTAAAAAGACAAAGAGTTATTATTTAGGCAAATTATTCTTTAATCAAATTTTTTTTCTTTGGAACTTTAAAAGTCTTTCATGATGTAAAGGTGGTAACATTGACCCCAGGGATGCATTCTGTTATTAGACCTGTAAAAGTAAAGATGCTTTATTATTCTAAAACAATCACATTAATGTTTATATTAATGGTCAAAATGAAAAAAAACAAAACATACAACTTTATGTATTTTTTTGCTTTTTACACTTACAACATCTACTTGTGTTAAAACACAACTTTACCTTCATTTAATGTTCTCTTTTCCTCGACAAGGCCCCTTTTTTGGTGAAAACACCAATAAACTGGAAGTCATCAGCTTCTCTTTACTGAAAAATATAAATGACATGTAGTTGACATATTTCTTCTTTTTAAACAAAAGACTAGTCAGCTTCTTCTTTAAAAGTGAATGAGAATGAAATTGTTAATAGGTTCTATCAGCATTTTTTCGAGTTTCTTAAAAATATCTTTTAAGTTTGAACCATTAAAAAATATCAATAAAAATATACCAAGTTTATTCCATGGGCAAGAGGTCTTCTCATCATCGTATCTTCCAATATGTTACTGCTTTTGCTATTTGTTTCTGTGGGGGAAAGATAGATCATAGAGTTTACCTATAATATTATCTATTGCTCCTGTGTCCAAGTACAATATTATTACAAATTATGCATGCACTAACCAGGTCTGGTACAATCACTAGATTTAGCTACGTAGCTTGAATTACCTACATAGCTTTATTTACCTACCTGAAGTAGCTTTATTTAGCTACTAAATCAAACTTATTTCATAAACTAGCATTTTTCCCAGAAAGTGCAGAAAATTGCACTTTGATGTAGTGATAATTTTCAACTTTTAACTCATCTGAAAACAATTCGTGAAAAAATCACTCTTGAAAATGTGTCTTTTTCTGCACAATTGCAATCAAAGTTCTAAAAGTTTTGGGACTTTAATTTGTGACCTAACCATTACTTCTTGATTGAAATAACAAAGAAAACCAGTTCTTGTTAACATGAGCACAATGTGAAGTAATCATACTTATCCATGCCTCATCGCACACAACGTGGTGTATAGTTACTCAAACAATGGAAATACATCTTTTCCTTAAAAGTGTTCAAACGCAGCAATGTTAAAACCATCTCTGCTTTAGATTGCTTTTTAAATAATAACTAAAATAAATATAAGTAGACATTTACTTGCAATTTTTTGTCTTTTTAAAATAAAAAGCAAAATTGTGAAAAGTTGCCTTGAAATAGCTAAATAAATCTACCCGAGGTAGGTAAATAAAGCTACGGTAGGTAATTTTAGCTACGTAGCTAAATGTACTGGACCTGCTAACGGGCACTGGAAGTTAAGGACCCTCTCTACACTCCACCCTTATTTCAGGGTACTTTTGTGTAGTTAGACTGACCCATCATTTGATATAGAAATAGAATAATTTTTAACCTGCACTGTATGACATAATTTAAAATAAATCCAAGTATTCTAAACAACATATTAGACCAAGATAGATTAGTTGAAAACTTTATTTGCATGTATTTTCACCATTTGAGAAAGCAAAAGTGAATTTTATTTACAATTACTTCATTATCTTTGTAGATTTTTCCTGGGTAAAAAAGGCACGCTCCCTATATTAAAAATGAATTAGTTAATTTCAAAATATCCTCCTTTACGCTATATAATTTTCTCGAAGTCCAAAAAAACATTTTTCATCAGTGTATAGAGGGTCCTTAATGTAAATATTGAGTATGTGCATGTATAAAAAATTTACATTCACTTCCAGTGCCCGTGCATGCACTTAATAATGCATATCATCACACCCTGCTTATTTAGCACATTTGTTTTATAAACGCCAAACTTCTGAAAGTGTTCAATTGGCAATTAACTCGAAATTTAAAAGAATACAATTTTCTTGTGAAATATTCGACATGATCATATTTGAACCACGATACCTATTATATTAAAGTTTAAATAAGTTTGAACTTACAACCAACGTCATGAACTATGAATATTCCCAGCTTCATTCTCTGAAATGGTGCAAATCATTGTCCCTTTTGTCGGCCTGCCTAATTGAAGACCTACAGGTAATTGAAGACCTACGGAAGACCTAGGGAAGACCTACAAAAATATGGGCTATATACAGCAAAACTGATGTGATATTCTGATTAAAAATGTCTTAAATATATAAAATACACAAAAAAGTTTTATAAAAAGAGGTTTTAAAGTGTATTTTTCAAGCTCGGTATGGGGAACTATTTCTTCTCTCAGACGACCTATCGCAAGAACGGTAACTCTGGTTAACTTGTAAACAACAACGTGTATATTATGGTAAAGTGAACAGGGAAAATGAGAATACACAAATAAAAAAATTCAAATGATATTTTTTGAGTTTTCCAATCATTTTTATAATAAAGATATAAGCTGGAATATGAATTTTGATGAGATTGATATGTATAAATTAATATTTCACATTAGATGTATACTGTCAATATTATCTATAGTCAATATTTAATTATAGTTTATTGCAATTCTTCAAACATGTAATATGTTTTATGGGATAAATATTAAATATTTTAATCTAAAATATTGATATGTATACTGTGGATTTGTCTTAAACCATGTAAGGTAAGATATCACTCTGACCTAAAGGCTTCACCACTAATGTGTTATATACACACCCTGAGGATATATCCATGTTTTGATTGCAATTATCAACATACCCCACTTGCTCTAATGAAGTTAATTTACAGTCAACAAAGCAGATATACATTTTTAAAAATCTTTTAATTATATTATCTTAATTCTTACAGAGACACTCATTGTCTGTGCTTCATGAAAGAATAAGATTTCTTAATATAAAATAACTTTTTAAACCTATTAAGTGAAGCAAATAAAAAAACTCAATGAGTTTTACATGTGACTAAAATGATAGCATTTTGAAAAAAAAAATCCAAAATGGTCACTTTTTTCTCTTAATCAAAAACATATTACAGTGGCAAAAACAATTAAAAAAAATGTATTTTAGAATAACCCGTCATGTACTCCCAGAAATACTACTTAAAACATTAAGAATAACATTAAATAAGGAATATTTTTTAAACACGTAGAGCCAAAATATACTGTATATCGTTCTTGAACATATTTTGATTAAATAAATAACTTACACTGTTTGACCTCTCCTTAAAATAAGATCAATATAATATGTCATAAACTGAAAATAAATATTAACAGATTCAGAAATATGAATATAATAAGACTTTTCAAGTGGAATTCCATGAAATATAAATTAACACGACAATTTAAAATCTACAGAATTAATCAATGAATTTATGGACTAAGCAACAAGAAATAGTTTAATATATTCTGTCTGTTATTTACATACAAAGTACACAAATTCTTTTTATAAATTAAATAAGTAACATGTAATCACTTAAATGAAATGCATGCATATTTTGAGAAAAAAAAAATCTTCTTTTGCTGTTCAGGCTCAGTGAATGCAAGAAGATTTTGTAAGTGATTGTGGCTCTGATCTTTAAGAAAAAATACTTCTGATTTTTTAAACGTTTTAACACTCTGTCAAAGCATAAACATATTTATTTATGTGTATATAACACATTATTTATTATAATATTTAATTTGTACATTGATATACCAATGAAAATAATTTTGAAAATAAATTAAAATTTTTAAAAAGAAAGAAAGGAATTCGGTTAAAAAAAAAAAAAGAAAAAAAAAAGAGTCCATGCATAGGAATCATGGAAACTTCTTATAACAATTTAATAATTCATTAAAAAAAATATACATATATTTTATGATTGATCAAATTATGGTATTATATAATATGTATATGTCTCTGCTTTGGTTAAGTTTTTTTTTTATTTTTATTTATTTTTTTTTTATTTTTTACAAAGTAGAATAATATCTAATTGAATATTCCCTTTTATTATTTCATCTTTGATTTAATTATTTCAAAATATCTTCAATGCTTCTGTTTTTCTTCATTTAACTATTGATTTATTTACATTTTTCTGATGTGTTTTGGTGAACAGCTGATTTGTTATTAACGCGAGTTATCGTTCTTGCGGTAGGTCGTCTGAGAGAAGAAATAGTTCCCCATATCGAGCTTTAAAAATACACTTTAAAACTTCTTTTTATAAAACTTTTTTGTGTACTTTATATATTTAAGACATGATTAATAAGAATATCACATCAGTTTTGCTGTATATAGCCCATATTTTTGTAGGTCTTCCCTAGGTCTTCCGTAGGTCTTCAATTACCTGTAGGTCTTCAATTAGGTATTCCCCCCTTTTGTGGGTATAAACATTCCAGGTTTTTTTCTCCAGGGATGCATTATTTCCTCACTGTCCGTTGTCTTCACTTTTTCATTACTTCAGCTTGGCATTCTTTAACGGCACACTTCATTTTCTATAGTTCGGTGTCTATTCAAAGTATAGTATCTCAAGCAAATCCAAATAAAATCTCTCCGCCGACATCTTGACCTCATCCAATTTGAAAAACGCGGATTATTGAAATGGGTCACTCTTTGTCATTAAACCGCTTGATTTCCCACACCGTACACACTTTAAGATAAGCGCACAGTTGACCAGATAACGTTTGGTAACTTGTACGCGTTTTGATTCCATACGGGATTTAGGTACTTTTCGTTTTTAGTAGAAGAGTGCAGCTATAGCCTAAATGTTGTACTTATATTACTGTAACAGTATTGTAAAAATTAATTTACGGTAAAAAAAACTTCTGAACTTGAAGTTTTTAATTATTTTGTTGTAATAAATAATTATTTTACATTATGGTGCCAATGTTTATATTTATGCAGAAAAATGTCTATTTGTCTGTTTATATCGCTGTATCTATATATAAATGTTATTATTTACATAGCTAAGACTTTGATTTTATTCCCACATTCAAAGTAGGTCCAACAAAACAGCAATTTCAATGGTAACAAGTCCTCAGATGTTATTATTGAGGGGTAAACCATAATATACACTGGCGGATTTAGAAGGGGGCCAGGGCGCCCGGGTCCCCTTTTGTGTCCAAAATATATATATAAGATTTAATAAATAATTTTTTTGGTGTGGCTGTGGGCCCCTAACCCAACTCCAACCTGGTCAGTCCCCCCCCCCCCCCCTTTTTAAAATTTCTGGATCAGCCACTGATATAGTTTTAGGCCTATTTGTTTTATTGAATAGACCTAGTGTATTCGCAAACTTAATAATGGGAGTTGTGCTGATTATAATCCCCTAGTACCTCAAGTGCACTATTCAGTATTCATCAACACATTGAAAAAATATCATACATTGTGAATGTCTCATATATTATTATATGTTGAGTCTTGACTTCAGGATATTCTAGGACTTAAAATTTAACAGTCCTCAGCTCAAGATATCCCAGGACTTATTTGATTCAGTTGGTTTTAGTTCAGAAAATGTTAAGAGTCCTGAGATTTCCTTATGTCAGGACTTGATCTCTTGTAAAAGTCCCGAAAAATCCTGGGAAAATCTTGTTCTGGTGAAGAGTTAACATGAAGTCCTGATATTTCCTGACAAAATCCTGTGCCTGATGTCAGGATATCTCAGGATTTGACAATTGTCAGGAGCAAAAATTTTGGAGAGCAGGACATGTCAGGATATCTCAGGAAAATCCCAGGATATCCTGACTTCTCCTGACCCTCCAGGATTTATTTCTGCAAGGGTTGTTTATAGATGGTTTCAGGGAATTTGGGGAGGGTGATGGGTCATTGAATGATTGGCAGAGGACAGGAAGACCAAAAGATGAGAGGTCGGACGTAAACGTTTAACTGGTGTCTGATGTCGTAAAAAGACATGCGTGTATCTGTTATGTAAAGAGATATCAACACTTTGTCTTGTGTAATGTTCAAAGAATTTTGACAGAGGACTTAATTATGAAAAGAGTGAGTGTACGGTGGGTACAAAAAATTCTTAAACAACAGAAATTTGTGAACATGTTCGTGAAACTCAAATATTTTTATTGGGAAATGTTTGAATGTATGACGGCATGTATGCATTATATGACGTTATTTAGATGCGGCGACTACCAAAATCGCACTTTGTATATAATACGATATTTATAAATGTAAAAATCATGTTGAATTGAAATTTTTAGGTCCGATTTGAAATAAATGTAGCTTCCATCATTTATAATTTTGTTGTTTTACATTGACTAGTAGCAATTTTATTAAAGTTGTGACATTACTTTTGGATCAACCTTCGTAGATTACCATTATTATGTCTTTTTCAAGTAAAATATCCAAATATGAAACAGAAGTGTCAGACTCTGTGGTATCTTTTATCTCAAGCTCACCGGGATATATCGTATCAACATAAGAATGGAAATAACCATTGTTAATTGACAATACGTCGTCGATATATCTAAATTTCAAGTTGAAGGCCACAGCAAGTGTTTTCTTTTCATGTATAAGATTTTGGACAAATTCTGCTTCATATGAATACAAGAGGCCCAAGGGCCTTAACGGTCACCTGAGTATAATACAACAATTTAGAGGATCCATAGAGTATAAAATGAACTGAAAGGTGAAGCTTTGTTGCCCAAAAGCAAGAAAAATAGAGTGATCAGGATCAAAAAATAATTAGTCTAGCATTCATTAACAGTTCATAAATTAGGTTCTAATCTGTTCCCCATTTAACACTATCACCATACAGTAAATTAAGAAACTATCACTGCTTCTGTACTATCTTAATTCCTTTTTGAAATCTCTTACATTGGCCTCTCTTGATCTTTGATGAACACTTAATAAGACAAGTTATTTTTGTCTCATTTTTATTTATCTATTACTTACAAGTCTACCTGATCATTAAAACTATGAAAGTACTTTTTGTATTATACAATAAAAATTCTTGCATAATTCTCTTATTCTATTAACCTTTCAAGTACATTATTTACAGTGATTAATTATCAAAAGTAAATAGCAAAGGGGAATAACTCCTCTCAGTAGATTACAAATTAATAGTGCCCTAGCTAGGACCAGAACAGTTGACTAAATGGTCCAGATGTTCAAATA